TATGATAAGGAGCCGTGTCAACTATCTAGGACCGTTGCTATGTGTGTCTATATGGGTGTCCCACCTAAGGACCAGGTTATTTATCTTGGGCCGTCGCTATATTTGTCCATATGGGTGTAGCATTAAATGACCGGAACCTAGAGCGTATCTAATCAAAGCATATTTATTGTTTCGTTCTCTGCTTTGCATTAAAATTCCTATTTTTATTCTTCTGTTTCAGTGGTCGGAAGTCGTGAGAGACTACTGTACAAACTGTTTCATTATTGGTGTTTGTTGAGGTAACAACGGCATTTTCGATGAATTATAATATCAGCTAAATATTTCAAAATCATGAAGCCACACTTATTCAGCCCGGATTATGTATCTGATATCTACCACCTTATTATTTTGGTATGCTAAACTTCGACTGGCAGTCCCCTTCAAGTAATACCACAATGATCCCAAAAGTAGAGCATACGCTGATCCTGAAGCCAGCCCACCATCTCAATATGCTGCTTCTCCAATTAGAACGATTTGGTTGAGTGTATAATTTCACAGTTCATACTTGGGACAAATGGGATGTCGTCGTCACTCGTATATCTTATGTTTTAACATTGATTTAGGGATACATACCGTTGTCGTGCAACCACCCTTCTCCTACATTATCTGCTGCTAAATATATTGGTTACATGGTAACCCGTAGATAGGGCATATTTATAGCCGCATAGCCTCACACATAGGTCAGAAGTTTTATGAATTTTTAATTTCACAACAGAATGCCGACGGAACTGAATGGCACTCCGCCGACAAGTGTCGCAATAGAAATTCAATTAAAACAAAACCATCTATCAGATTATACGACGATAAACATTTTAAATTTAAAACCACAAGCGATTCGTATGTATCGTTTCGCCGGTTGGTTTTCATATTTCATCCGTCCCACGTACATACCATAGTCCCTGACAGTCAGGCTGACTCCTTGTGCAATGTGCGCAGAGCATTCAGCCATAGACCCATAGCCCACGATGTGTCTTTTAGAAGACAATACCGCAGCCGCCTTGATGTATTTAGTTAACTACAGTATTACCCAATCCCCATCTCTCCGTCCCTTTATATCATATTTAAAAATTGGAGACCCCAAAGACGACGTATTTACACACTATACAGTATGGCATACAACAACTATCTGACACCCACGTTTTCTCTTAGTTTTGTTTTGGCACACACTCCGGTTTAAATATTCTATCATACAAAATAACTTAACGAAAGCTGTCAGCCCTACTGCGCGAGCGGCATTGTAACCAAAGGTTCGTCAGATTTTATCCGTGCACATTAGTTTGATGCTGAACAGTTTGAATACAGTCCCGACAGTGGATTGGAGGAGTTTTCCAATTCCTATGTATATTTGCAACGCATTGGCATGTTTAATCTATCCTTTCATTAGATAGACAAGATATCAGAATCATGGCCCCGGCCGAGTGTTACACGACACTCACGAAATATAAGAATATTTGTCCTAAATTATTTTCACTAACAACAAGGGTATGTGTTTCGCATCTACTTTTCAAGTGCGCCTGGGTCACATTCTTTTGTTCTGGTGCATTGAATACAATGTTTGTGTGTGATGGTGCTGAGAAAATGAACGTATCTGTGTCGTACCACGAATGATAACTATGGCTATATTTGTGTGTTGTATCTGTTATGTAAGGGGTGAAAAAATGAATGGATCGGTGTGTTCATGAGTGTGTCGAATAAATAATGATTATGGTTGCAATTGTGTGTCTATGTGTGATGTATAAGTGGAGAGAATATGAATATATCTGTGCATTTTCGTGTGTAGTATGAGTAATGACTATGGTCGTATTTATATGTTTGTGTGTCATATGAGTGATGGGAATATGAATGTATCTGTGTGCTTCTATTTTTGTAATATGAGTAATGACTATGGTTGGAGAGAATATAAATGTATGTGTGTTTGTGTGTGCTAGTATTAGAATATAAATTTGGTTGTATTTGTATGTTTGTTTGTGTTGGTGGTGGCAAAACGAATATATCTATTCATTTGTGTGTGTATAGTATGAGTGAGAACTATGTTTGTATTTGTGTGACAGATCGTGTATTATACGAATGGTGAGAATATGAATGTATCTGAGTGTTTGTGTGTGTATAGTATGAGTAATGTCTATGGATGTATTTGTGTGTTTGTGTATGTGATATGAGTGGTAAGATTATGACAGTATTCGTGTATATATATATTTATATATATTTATATATATA